TGATTAAATTTGCTCTTTGGAACGCAGGGAAGGCCTAGCAGGCTAGAGCTTTTTTACAAATAAGAGGTGAGGGATGTGGGGTGGGGGTGGGGGTGGGGTGGGGTGTCCCTGGGAAGGCCCTGCAGGGTCCTGCTTGGTTTCGAAATGGAAAATATGCACAAGGCACATTAGCTGCAAATCGAAGTCCATTGCTTGTCTTGAGGAAAAGCACTCGTGTAACTGAGTTGCAAACTCAACTATGGATTTCTCGTGAAATACCATGTTCATGTTTGGCAGATACATTATTGAAAATGAGGCTGTCACTTCAAGAAAAATAACTGCAGTATTTGTTGCCAATGATAATATTTAAGCTTTCCAAAGGAAATAAGAATTCTGGAAAACTTATATCAACCTCCATGAGCTTGTCCACTTCCCAGTTGAGATATAATTCACATACCATAAAATTCGCCCTTTTAAAGTATATAATTCAATGGTTTTTATATATTCAAAAATTTGTGAAACTATCACCATTATCTAGTTTTGTCACCCCCAAAAGATACCACGTGCCAATTCCTCTCTTCTCCTAGCCTCTGGCAACCACTAATATACTTTCCGTCTATGGATTTGCATATTCTGGACATTTCATATAAATGGAACTACACAATTATCATATGATTTAAAAAAATATTGTTTGAGATATGAAAACATTTGGAAGATCTACAAAACTCAGTAGATTAGTATTTTTCCAAATTACGAAAGCATTATGTTACAAAATCCGAAATGGGCAAAAGAGCCATTCACAGTGCAAAACAGGCTTTTAATGGAACGTTTTACAAAAAGTTATATGATATGGTGTCAGATTACACAGTGCAAATAACCTTTAAGAAATACCACTTGTTGAGTTTTGTTGTGGTATCAAAAAAAAAAACAACCAAACTGCAATTATCTGAAAAGACTATTAAAATAAATACTCCTCTCTTTCCAACTACATATAGGTATGAGGCTGAATTTCCTTCATATATGTCAATCAAAACCATATATCAAAACAGATTGAATGTAGAAGCAAACATAAGAACCCAGCTATCTTCTATTTTGCCAGATATTAAAGAAATTGCAAAAATGTAAAAAAATGCTGCTATTCTTACTAAAAAAATGTTTGGGAAATATGGTTACTTTTCAAAAAATGTTATTTATATTAACATAGTAGGCTCATTATTATTTTAAAATGAAGCAATACTAAATAATTTTTTAAATTTCTCAGTTTCACTTTCTAATATGGTAAATATCAATAAGATACAGCCTACAAAAACAAAAGATCTTTGGGACTTCATTGGTTTTCAGGACTGTAGCATGGACCTGAGACCCAAGAGTTTGAGAACTGTAAGTTTAGCACTTGTTGTCTGCATCTTTCATTTGACAAATAGACATACCTTAGGGATAGTTCTGCATTCGTTTTATTGAACCTCTCTGTGTCTTTTCTATTATTAATTACAGTTTCATTTAAACAGGTTACAAGTCTCATCTCCCTTAGCTTTGTTATTGCATCACCACTTCCAGCAATAGCAGCTTCCTCTGCACGTGGGCCGCTCAAGGGCAGGCACTTGGCATCAGCCTGCCTTGTTCTAATAGGATCCCAGTTTACATCTGTCGAATGGAAGGAGACTAGGGAGACAGACAGTGGAATAAAAATACTATACACTAGGAGTGCTCCATGGATAGTAATTAATCAGAATGTCATATGCGTAAAAGGAGATAATCAATGTGAGGGAGTCAGGAAAAGCATTTGAAATTGATTGGAGGTGGGGAGGAGTGTTTATCACAATATTACACACTATGGTCAAAAATTAGAAGCAACCTAAATGGCTAACAATTGGGAATTTGTTTTTAAAACATTATAGTTTATACAATCATTAAAAATGATGTTGCAGATAGGTATTTGCCATCTGGAGTTTTTTTGACTTAAACTGACCGTTTTTCCTCCCTCCTCTCTGCCTCATCTCCTCACCCCTTAAAAAAAGAGTTGACAGAATAACATTATCAAAACTGTGTTTAATGCCTCAATTGTGCTGGAGTGAAAAAAATGGTTGAGACCACTGTACTGAAGATGCACATCTACTGATACAGAAAGATGTCCTTGATAGAGTGTTCATGCAAAGAACAAATTATAATTTGCTTTATAATTATAATTTATAATAAAATTTAATTATAAATTATACTTTAAAAGTATAAAATTGTTTTTGAGAAACACAGGCACAAACAGTAAAAGGGTATAAAAGATATTGCAATGATTATATCTGGGTATTGGAAGTACATTTAAATTTTTTCTTCTTATTTTTACACTCACCTCAATATACTAATATATACTTATTTGCTTACCAAATTCAGTGTATTAATAAACATGTAACATAATACTTTTGTAACAGGAAAACAAATTATTTTTAATTTGTTAAAATATAACAGTAGCTCTCAAGCTTCTCTTTATCAAGGTGTTACACTCGTAGTCATTTATCAAAAGAAAAAAACAATGCTAATAAACTCACTTTTGCTTTTTCAAAAAAAAAGAAAGAAATCGATTGGAATGTTTTACACTTAAATATGCTGAGAGCTGGTCTCCAGTTTTAGTGAGCATAAAAATCAACTGATAAGCTTATTTATTGGGTGGGCAAAAAGTTCGTTTGGGTGTTTCTGTGACATCTTACGAAAAACCCGAACGAACTTTTTGGACAGTCCAACACGAGGCAGATATCTTGGTCCCATCCTCCAAGATCCCAATTCATTAGGTTTTAAATAGCCCCAGGAATCTGCATTTAAAATAATTCTGGATACAAGTTTTAAATTGAAAAATCGTCATGTGCATAAGGGAAAAAGTCAGGCCCACCCCAGAGCCCAAACTTCCCTCCCCAGAGCTGAACACTGTTAATGTTCCCTTCTGTTTCCTTCCAGAAATGTCCTATATATATATATACACAAGCCATATGAGTAACCTTTTTTGTAGTTAGCAAAAATGTAATTGGGGGTACATTAAACATGTCTTGCTTTTTTTCTCTTAGCAATATATCTTGGATACTGTTGTCTAATTTTACATATGAATCGGTCTTTTTTTTTTTAACAGCTGCATAAATACCATACTTTAACAGTTCCCATTGATGGACATTTAAATTATTTCCAGTCTTTTATATAACAAACAATAAATCAAAAAATCCTTGTTCATTTGTCTTTGTTCATATGTAGGAAAAAATTTTAGAAATGCAGTTGCCGGATTATAGGGTGTGTGCATTTTAAATTTTGTAGCTGAACTTGGCCCTTCTAACAATCACGCTCAGTGATTCTCTCTCGGTGGTTTTATAACCATACCTAGAGAAAGGGGAAAGAACCAAACGGATAATTATCACTTATATTTTAGGAGTTTTCCTCTTAAAGATAAGAAAATAAAGATTTTGTACAAAAACTCACTGACCATCTTTAAAGAGGACAAAATTTATTTAGTTGTATGTAAATGAAAAGTATTTGGATATGTGAGGGGAAACCTATAAAGCACATAACAAATATACAATCAACCCTATATAATATCATCAGGATATATTTAAACAGGAAATAATGTATTTGCTGTAATTCTTTATAAGCATTCTCTTTTTTTTCTGTTGGCAACATGAATATTGCAAGTAGGTTTTACTTTTGTCTTTGTAAAACGGGGACTTGATTTGGTAGAGATCACCGCTTCTAAAAATATGGTAAATCAACGAACAACTGGACAGACTGAACATAAGCAGGTCTCACTTGGATATTTAACTAAAGCTGGGTCATTGGATAAAAAGTTCGTATTTGTGATGCACAACTAGTAATGCAAGCATCAAAATGCATCAGCTGTATAGCACCGTTCCCAGTATTTAACACCACCTCTTGTTAATTTGGTATTGTCAGTAAATGAAAGTAAGGGAGTAATGTAGTCAGTTTTAAAACACACAACATGTTTTTCAATCTATCATCCTAATTTAATGGTAAATATATAGAGAGAAAAACGTTGCCTCAGCATTTAAGATTACCTTTATCAAAAACAGAGAGCTGGGTTCTTTCACAGCAGCCAAAGATGTCATGATAACAAACGGGTCATTGTGTTGGACCAAATGGAGTATGACATGCAATTTATTATCTATAATAATTTACAGGCAATTCTTTAATCATTGGAGGTAATATTGCATATGTTAGCCATGCTTTTGTTTCTCCTTTCCATTAGCCGCCTTTTATGATTATTGTTATTTTGGCGGTCCCTTTCATTACCCAACCCCTCCCACTAGACATTAGAGCAGGAAATAGTGGAGATGAAACAAAAAGGAAACGTGTCCGTGTAATCACTTGTTAACAGCTCTAAAGGGTTTGGTGGAGTAAAAGACTGAAATGGATGGCTAAAATTAGGCTGGGGTAACATTCTGTGACTCCAATTACTAGTACCATTCCTGCCTCTAATTACCAAGGATAACTGAGAATGGTCTGTACTCACTTTAGATAAATTTGACCCAAGACACTGGCCATGATATTAAAGCATTTTTGTGTGTGTGTGATGAGCAAATTGTGAGTGGAAATTTAAATAGTTCTAAAATATGTGTAAACAAGTAAGGCAGCCAGAAATTTCAGAATGATTCTGGGAAGAACATTCTGCAGTGTGAAACATGTTTGGCTTAGAAAAATAGAGATCTCCGATAAAGGAAGAGCATTATGTGATATCATGGATCACAGTTATCTCCTGTTTGAAATCAACCAAGAGAACTATTTTAAAAACTGTGCTGAGCTCAGGCAGATGAACTGTCCATAGAACAGCAAGACACTGGAGAAGGGCTATTTGTTACCACTACTGCAATGTCAAGTGCACAGACATTTGGACCAAGGGCATTTTATTATCCTCACAACCTGACAGTCTCATATTTGGGATGAGTAACATGCTTGACAGATGATTTAACCACCAACTTTACATGTTACCCAGCAATTAGTTTTCTATTTTATTTACTGGGCAGGAGAAACTCAGAAAAAATTTTTTCTATAGGCCTCAGATCGTGCTCATAAACTAAGAGGCCAATGAAATGAATAAAAGTGCTTGAATCGTAGCCCTTGATTCAGTGGTTGTATGCATGAATATGACTTTCACTAAGGAGATTATTAATATTTATTTGTTAAGGTTTTGTCTCAAGGTTCAGTTTATAACTGGATAATATCGAATTAGGAGTAACGGCAAATGCTTTTCTTAGAGAAAGATTTAGAAATTGTATGCCCTAGCTGCAGAATTCTTTAATAAAAATATAAACTGTGTTTCTTTAATTGTACCAAATATATTACCTTTGAAGTTAGAGCCTGCTTTTGTTTTACACTGGTAGATCAACAGCTCCCTGTAACAATTTCTGAAATCCAGCATAGTCTGCTTAAAACCCATTTACAGGTTTTCCCCACTATCTGAAAGCAGAGTGTTCTATGAAACCTTAACTGAAATGGCATAAAGCAAAGAAGCCATGACCTTAGGTCACATCTTGCTCATGGATGCACAAAATAAATCGAGATCAAGTACAGATGCTCACAGACACAGGTCAAAGCTATGGCGACTTGAGGCTGAATTGCGGAATGTGGTTCCCCGGAAGGAGCCTGAGGGCGCCACTCTTGCTGCTCCGGCCGAGCTGCCTCTATAAAGGTTCACAGCAAAACAAACGCGAACGTGGTTCCCCTTTTCTTTTTGTAAAAGCGAAAATCCTCCTTGGGTTTCTTCTGGTGAGTGAAAACAGGTACTAACGTAGGTCTTTCATAAAAGCAAAGCAGTGGAAAGCGCTTTCAAAAAGCAGGGGAGACCTGTATCTGTAAGATTTCCAGAAGCACTTAGATACCTTATTTTCATCTTAAAAAGAAGTAGTTGGGTTGAAAAGCTTTAATTCTTTGTTTTAAAAACTGTTTCTAAAACCCTAGTCTTAGTGGATGATGAGATACTTTTTAGAGGGCGTTTCTACCAATGATTTAATAGGCTGTCTTTGCAGGACACGGTCATCTCTAAGATGCATGTAGTCCTTAATGCCTCTCCCTGCACAGGAAGGCAGTGCTGCTTTCAAACGAAGCCATGACAAAGGCATTTACAAACGACTGTGCCAGTTATGGGACAACGTACTTTCCCATGATATGTCACAGGCTCCTCACAGCAACCATGTGAGGTAGGCATGAGTATGGCAAAGAAATCTTACATGGGACATAACAGGACACTACACATTTGCACCGTCTATGTATTTTTTTCTGGACTGTCCTATAATTTGAATACACGGTTGAATGAGTAAAAAGAGTATTCCTACCATGTAGAGTAAACCACATATATAAAAGGAAAAATCATATTTTTGTGTGATGTCGTAGATCCACCCTACAAAACAAAAAAGAATATATTCAGTGTAATGAAGTTGAGAAAATAAAGTCAAGAGCTCAAAGCAAGCATTTATTGCTACTATAAATAATTCTCTAAGGATTTATTATATGTCATTTAATGCCCCAACCGTTCATTTAGCCATTTTTAAGTCTGGGCTGTTGGAACCAGAGTTCTTGGTGCGTGGGGACGGCTGCATTTATCTTTGAAGTCACTGGGGTACTTTTAAAGGCACTGAAACAGTAGCTGGCCGACCTATAGGGAGAATCTTCTGGCCCACAGCCCTTGGGGTAACTCTCAGGCCGGCACAAAGCCAGCAGCAAAAAGTGAATCTAATGATTTTCTTTTTACACAAATATAAACACAAATCTTTTCTAAAACCTCAAAACTCTTCTGAAGAAGATTCTCGTGTATATACAAAGAGGCTGGGCAGAAGACATTTGAACTTTCATTCATTCTGAAGTATAAGGGTAAGTATCTGTTCTAGAAAGAATCAAGATTTCCAGGTTTTATAAAATTCACATTTACAGCTATAAACCTTTAATATGTATATTTAAATTTGCGAAAGTTTAAATTGCCAAAGACATAGCTTTAAATGCTAACTAAATTATCGGTTCTTTAAAAAAAAATACTTTGCTATTATAGTCTAATACTTTCATATAATGATCTTACTAGGGCCTGTAAGATACTACCATATTTCATGGATTCTAAGGCACCATGAATTACGTGGTGCATCATTATCTTATGTATCAATAAAAAAGAAATGTATCATCAATTAAAATATGACTTGATATTTTCTTAGAACTTTGTACAAGCTATTCTGATTTCAGAGATGTTAAAATGTGAAAAAAGAGTCTCAGAAACTATGAAGCGTGATGTTTCATTCACTTCAGTTATCAATCCTAAGGATCAGTCACATGTCTTGGTCCCCACATAGCCAGCTATGCAAACTGAGAGGATTAAGCTACATACAGAATTTTATTTATGGTAAAAATGTAAATATAAGCATTCACTTTTTCCATTTCAACAAGTGCATTAATTAGCAAAGACATAAGAAAAATAGAAATGATTTAATGATCAAACACAGCATTCCATGGTCACTTTAAGAAAATTATCTTTTAAAAAGTATCTAATTGGCAAATGAACGCATAAATACAACTTATAACCTTCTCGACCAACAAACAGCTACACAAAAGCAACTGCTAAATGTGTAAACTACTATCTCTGACTTCCTGTGGCTTATCTGTATCTCTTGTTTATTGTGTCTAGTGCTTAACGCACCTGGATGAGTCAAGGCTGTCATAAAGAAAAACAAACAACAGCATCGAAAATGTATACTTTTAAAAAACCCCTCAAGAGCTATGAACCTGGATATACTTTAAAAGTAAACCAAGTTTTTGAGTTTGTTATTTGATATATAAAAGAAGAGAATACCAGAGTCCTTAGATGTGGCTTAGTAAATGTTCTATCATCTTTTCTTAATTTCCAGTTTGAGACTAGAAGGACAGATAAGATTAGACATATAATCCAGAAACAGTGATTCAGCTTCAGCATTGAATCAGAAAGACACAGTGACATATGAACAAAAACACACCCAACTTTTGCTCGGTGCCACCATTTGTCAGCTGTGGACCACTGTGAATTATGATGAAGTGAATAATTCACTTGCAGATAACGCTGAGTGGTGTGTCTCTATAAGGGTACATGACAGCTCTATCTTCAGCTACAATTTCTAAAAAATCAATACATATAAATGAGGTTCTCATACCCCACTCATCCCATATGAAAGCTGATCTTGTCAGTTTAACCGTTAAATCCTCCCTTTTCATATGATCAAGTGATTGAGAGTAGGAAATGATGCCTCTAAATAACCAACAGCTGAAACAAGTTGATTTCGCATCACTGCCTAACACGGACTCAGGACAAAATCCTCATTGGAGAATTAATTTGTACTTAGTTCAGACTATTTATGTACTTTTCGGTTACAAGTGTTTGAGTACAAGCTCCAGGGCTCTGTGATATGGCCCCTGTCCACCTCTCTTGCTGCCCAGAGCTTAACCACAAGCACAAGCCATTCTGAATATTCTGGAGTTTCAAACATATTTGTCTTGACACCTTGTCTGTACATGTACTATTCCCCCTTCTGGGGGGACAGTAATAAACCCATCACCCTTAGAACACCCTACCATCTCCTTCCCACCGCTCCATCCTCCCTCTTGTCTCCACAGACTACAGAAAATGTGTGCTAAGTGTGTTACATATTGTTACAGCCTTATGTTGAATTAATTATATTTTAAGATCTTGCATCTTTCCCCTAAAAGTATAAACTTTTGTAAAAGCATCTTCACACACCCCATTCTTTTAAAGTAACTCACAAGTCAATTTCTCAAAAAGTGCACTCAACTTTACCAAACAAGTTTGGTACAAATTGGAGTAGTCCTAAATTTTATGTTAGATTAATCCCATAGGTTTTTCCAATCTACCTTTATCTGAAACGATTCCAGATCCTGCCATCTCCACTAGTCTGAACCCAACCCAGTCCCAAGTCAGATGCAAAGCAGGTCAGGAGACAGTACTTTACCATGTGCTTTGGCCCAACACATGGGGACGAACTCTTTAGAAACAAGATGTTTCAGACAAGATGCCCGCCTCATTCATCCTTCACCATCTCTCCCTGTAGGTCTGAACTCATCAGTCCCTTGGTTTGGAGCTTGGATCCTTGGCAGTCCTGATCCAACCATCCACCGAAATCAACAGCTTCAAAGTAAAATCTGGTTCCCTATTAAACTGCATTTCTTTTTCATTTGAGTCTTGTCAAATGAGGAGTGACAGCTATTTTTCTTACTTATTAAATAAGTGTTCCCAGCTCTTGATGAAAAAACATTACAAATTATTGTTAGGGTGTTATACTTTATGCAAATATTGGAGATACATGTAGGTTCTTGGTCAGTCAAATCTGGTGGCTGAGCTTTGCTATACTTTACCCTGGAAACATCTAGAAAAGTACTATTATTATATCTTTAAAAGTGATGAACTGAATGCCCAGTAACATTATAAATGAATTACATCATGAAGTTCAGGTTGCTGAGTGACAGGGTTGAAATGTCTGTTCAATATCTTTGATTGCACATTCTTCTCCTAAATGGAAATGTGTGATTGTCTAACATGCTACTAAATTGTACCAGACTTTTTAGTGCCAGTAGGAACCGCTTTGAAAAATGGAAAACACATTCATTTCTAAACCCATTAAAAGCGAAAAAGCTAATGTGAACAGTAATTTTCCTTCTAGCACATCAAGGTAAGTAATAATTTCTAGTCAACCTGGAATTTCTAGCAAGAATTTAATGTGGTTTTTTAGTCACTCATATTGCCAGGCACTTCGGCAGTATCATGCGTAAAGGCTGGCCTTGCATCTCTTGCAATATTGGCTCCTTGGCCTGGAAAATCAATGAATTAAACACAGTACAGTTAGCTAATCATGTTGTTCAGCGTCCCTCAGTGCGTGAATTCAGTGGAAGGAGAAGAAACAAACAAAAAGAAGGAGAGGTCCCTTTAGGTTGCTGGCCTGGAGATGTACATCAGAACATTGATTTTAGAGTCCCCATGGCAGCATTTGACACATATTCATGTCAGGTTTGTAATACAGTGGTTTCTACCATCTATGGTGTATCAAATTCAGCTACAGACTCCACTTCTAGGGAGGACCGTTGAAGCAAGCAGAGATCAGACCTGGTGACTGAGGGTTGGGTATAACTCCATGTCTTCTAGTTATAATTCCTTTCTCTTCCGCTCAAGAAAGTGCACTAGAATCCAAGTGTGTGGAAAGGAAATGACCATAGGGATGGGATAAGGAAAACATGCTGGCAAACCTTGGTGCTTTAATTAACATCGATCATGAATTACTTCTGCTGCACCTCACGGCTGTGTTGTGATACCGCTATTGCAATCTGATGGATCAGTATAAAATAATCGCAGACTGACCATTAGAAGCAGAAAGTACCCCTTGGATCTTGCAAAGAAACATCAATGGCAGATTCTATTTCCACATACAATGTATCTGAAGGACTTCCAACGAGAGGGTGGATGAGCCACTGATAATGTCCCCATCCCCTTAATGGATATTTAACTCCTTTGGAAGTTACCATTGGCTGACTGATCCAACCCCCCAATCCCAGTTCTTTTCTCCTTTCCTTCCTTCCTTTCCTTTTCTCCAGAGGCTGGAAAGTAAAATTCTCCAATTCTCAGTTCCCCTTGAAGTTTGGACTAGCTGCGTGACACAGTTCTGGCCAATCAGATATAAGTGGAAGTCTTCTGGGACTGAGTCTTTTGTTCCTTCCTTTTTCTTGTTATAAATGAGGATGTAGTGGCTGGAGCTACTGCAGGCATTGTGTGACCATGAGGCCACTAGCATGAGGAAAAGGCCAAGAGGATCTTGAGACACTGCCCCAATATCATCTAGTCTCTGAGTTCTAGATTTCTGGTTATGTGACACAAATCTCTGTTTAAGCTACCATTGTCAGGGTGTTCTCTTATAACCAAATGCATCCCTAACTGATAGAGAATTCTATACTACGAGATCACTGAGCAGTACTGACTCTTCCACTGCCAATATAATAGTCTGCTGCACTGCTGTAGATACTCACTGGCACCTAGAAATGCTGGCTTGCATCTCTGTATAGGAGCAGCTTGATCCAGGAGGGGCCCCATATGTAGCCTCTGGGGTTCCTAAAGCAATTCTTGGGCCTTAAACCTTTTGTCAGCCAGCTGCCAGTGTTGTCAGCTGAATAGGTAAAAATCTATGATTTCTTGAGCTTCAGTCCTGAGGGGGACTTAAAAATGGTTGTGTTGGCATAAGCCCTCTGCCAGCGCAGTTCTAGGACAGGTGACTGTAGGCTCTGTAGACAGACTGGGAAGCAAGGGGTGGGGAGGGCTTTGTCCTGCACCCATGAGGTTCCCCCATCCACTGGGAAGAAGTATTTCTGCAGAGGATATGAGGATAAAGGGCCTGGAGCAGCCAGATAGGCAGAGGATGGGGGCACCTGAACAGGTGAGATTCTACCAGGTTAGCTTAAAACCCTGCACAGAACTTCTGGCAGCTCTGACAACTGTCACCAGTCCTGCCTGGCCTGGCTGCCCTACGAGCCACCTCCACAGAGCACCTTTGTTTTCACATTTGGCCCCAGCCCCTGCCATACTTTGTGGGCTCCTGCCTCCAATCCCTGGACAGTGGGTAGACTTTGTCACCTTTGCCCAGTACCTGGCCTCTTGGGGACTGGGTCTACCTACCACAAAGCTTAAAACCTGCCCAGAATGACAGGCTCAGAGAGGTACCTGGCCCAGACACAGGACTCCTTGGTGGTGCCTACGGCTTCCGGTATGCCCGATGCAAGAAGGAAAATCTCCATTGAACTGAGGTGAATACATGTGAGAGATCTCACCCTAGATGTTGCCAACTGGTGGCCTCTGGGCCAGAGGTAGGCAGAATGTCCCAACTCTCCCCAGATGCCCACTTCCTAATCCCTGGGAACTGTAAATGTTCCCTTATGTGGCAAAAGGGACTTTGCAGACGTGATTAAGTTAAGGACCTTGAGATGGGGGTTATCCTGGATTATCCGGTGGACCCAATGTCACCAGCATCTTAAAAGGAGAAGGCAGGAGAGTCAGAATTAGAGAGATGAGAAGATGCTATGATATTGGCTTAGAGGATGCAGGAAGGGGCCGGGAGCCCAAAAGCAGGAAGCCTCCAGAAACTGCGCAAGACGAGGAAACGGATTCCCCCTGAGAGCCTCCAGAAGGAATGCAGTTCCACCAACACCTTGATTGTGGCCCATTGTGATCCACTTACGCCTTCTGACCTCTAGAAGTGTAAGATAATACATTTGTATTGTTTTAGGCTACTAGGTTTGTAGCAATTTATTACAGCACCAGTAGGAAACTACTACAGGGCTACATCCACGGAAGTGCTCTGTTGGACCTACACACGGTGTTTTGAACATTTGGAGATGTTACCTAAGAGTGCAGAGTCCTAGCTTCTCTTGGACAGCGGGGGGAGGGGGCTAACCACAGAAGAGCTAGCAATGATTTTCTGTATTTCTTGGTGATGGAAATCCGCTGGAGCAGGGTAGAGGCTGTCTCTTTCGGACGGGGCAGGGGCTCGGCACTATTCCACCGTGCGCTTTACCAGCCTGGTCATTGATCTCACAGGTTAGGGATCAAAAGTTCATCTACATTCTATATGAAAGAATGACCTCTAACTTGCTAAAATTTATAACAGAAATTGGGGGCAGGAATGGGAAAAAAAAGGACCATGTACACAAATGGAAACTTCCTTCTTATTCATCCTGGACTTTTAACACAAATGAGAACACGACTTTCTACATGCACTCCAAGCTCTTAAAGCCTTGAATGGTTTACCTGCAAAAGGTGGTCCCAGCAACGCAGAGATGCCGTTAGCACAGATGATGATGCCGTACGCGTTGGCTAAGTGCTCAATCCCCACCAAGTCTTCAGTCACCACCGGCATCAGGGAGAAATAACCGCTGGAAAACCCTATCAGTGCACAGATGACTGCCAGGCCAGCGTACGTGTGCATCAAGGGCAGAATAAAAATGCTGAGGACTAGGGTGAAGTTGGTCATCAGGAAGACATTCCAAACGCTGATGCAAGGTAAGTCGGCCACAACGCCGAGGATCACTTTTCCGAAGATATGAACTATTGCTATGATCGAAGTCAGAGGGAAAACATCGTTTTGCTCTGATAAATTATACAAATTGACTATTTCTGGGAGGTGAATGAAAGGGATGACAAAGCTGCTGTACGCAAACAGAGCCCAGAAAATAAAGGCAACAAACATCCGATTGGTAAAGAGCGAGGCTGTCCCAAAATAGCCCAAGTACCAATCCCGGAAGCCCTTCCTGACCCTCATGGTCAGCCGGCTCACGGTCTTCAGAACCCGAAAGGCGCACATGTCCTTTCTGTGTGCAGCCTTCTCGTGGCACGCCTGGGCTGGCATGTCCCCGAGGGAGTCCTCGGTGCCGGGGCCGCCCCCCTTCTCTTCCGCTCCGCCCAGCTGTCCACTGGACCGAACAGATTCGGTGGAGTGAGCCGGGAGGACGTGTGGCTCTTTCCCTTCTGGGTCGTCTCCATCCGTCCCAGGAGAGAGGGGCCTCATGAGCGCCCCGCAAACACACAGGTTCAGGGACACCGCGCCTTGGATGAACATGGCATTCCGCCATCCGTACTCTGCGCACAGGTACTTGAGCAAAACCGTCATGAGGAATGTGCCAAACCCGGTCCCGGTGGTGCTGAGGCCCTGGGCGAGCGCGCGCCTCTTCTGGAAGTACCTGCCCACCATGACCACGGCCGGCAAGTAGGCCATCCCGCTGCCAAAGCCTGCGCACCCGAGAGGGAAGAAAAGGCACACGGCACAGCGTAAATGGCCATAGCCCGAATCTGCAGCCTTTAAAGATCATCTGCATTTTATTATGTTAGTTTCTATAACTTTTCTTTCAAACAAAGAAATAATCATGATTGTAAAAATGGAGCTCGAGGGGCAAGTACCAATATTCACCCAAAGAAGCCCACTTCTAGTCCATCATTTCCCCCAACAGGCTTTTCAGCATAGGTCACTCCAATAATAATAATAATAATAATAATAATAAACTATTATATTAAATAAATAAATAACAAATATATATATAAGAATTAAATAAATAAAATAAGTCTGCATTCTCACATCAGAATATAAGCTCCACCAGGGCAGGACTGTGTCTGTATTATCACTCCTGGTATGCCGGGCACTGCTCAGAGCATGCAGTGTGTGCTTAGTGATTCGTTGAAAGAATGAATGGATTCTGAGGGCTCTGCTGCTAATTGCACTTAATACACAGGAAAGTACTCATGTACAAGGGGATGAAGAGTGACTCCAGGCAATTTACAGAAGCCTCAGGAATGGGCCAATGTGTTCCCAAATGAATTAGAAGAATAAAAGGAATTAAAATGTACCTATAAGGATACGTAGCTACTAGATGTCAAAATCACCTAACACTCATTTGCATCTCTGGTTTTTAATTGTATCTTTCTTAGAAAATAGGAACGGTTTGTGATTTACGGGCACAAAATTAAAATGCTGGTGGGGAAGATTGTGTCTATTGGGGGCAGGGTGTACTGGGAGTGCTTTGTGCTTTCTGCCCAATTTTGCTGAACCTAAAACTGCTCTATAAATGAAGCCTATTTAAATTTAAAAATAAAATAAATATGAAATAAAATAAAATGCTAGCCAAGAGGTTGAGGGTTGTGTTCTTAACTTCTAGGTACACACAGAGGGAAACCATAAGCCCCGCTTCAGGTGGTCATGGGGCCACACACGGTTCTAATGCTCACAGCCTCCTGACATTAGGATAGCAGCTTGATAGGAGAAAAGAGACTTGGACCAATAGCACTCCCCAAAGCCGAGAAGCTTTCCTAGTTTCGCATCATTTAATAGTTTCAGAATTACTTGAATCTGGAAGGAGAGCAGAGCGGTCATACATGCAAACATAATGACAATTACCACTAACTGAGTGGTGAGGATGTGCCAGTTGCTTTTCAGGCTTTATCTGATTTACTTTTCACAATAATCCAAAAGCTACCTGTGGTTATACCCATGTTATAAAAGGGGGCATTGAACCTCACGGAGATTCAGAAATTTTCACCAGACCCTGCAGCAGGTAACTGGAGAATCCGGGTTGGAATTCAGACCCAACTGCAGAAGTCTGGTCCCTTTCCACTGCCTGCACTGCCTCTCATCCTAAACTGCCCATCTGCCCGGCTGCCAGCACATTGCTGCAGAAGGATTTTGCTTCAGTTTCTAAAATAAGCTCCAAGAAGCAACCTGCCTCCTTTATTTACCTTAGAGCAGTGATAATCTACAGCAACTGTCAGGGGCCAGTGATCCTCAACCAACTGCTCCTCAGATGGATACCCTTGTTTTAAGAACAATTAAGCCAGTTTCTAAGTAATTCCCAGCGAAAGCAGGGGCAGGTCCCCAAGCCACCTGCCAAGCCTCAGCGAGGGAAGCAACATAGCAATCATTTGCGTGACGGGGTAGAGGAGGATGAAGAAAACGGCTACCCTTAATTTTGAACCAAACTCTGAATTAACTTCTATGAGTTTGAAGTCCGCAAAAGGCAGAAATCTCTAATTTCCTAATATTTAAAAGGGACATAGAAAAACATTCAATAGTCCATAAACTGGTCCTACATCCTGACCAGTTGGTTGACTTCCAGTTATCTGCATGCTGTTTGAGAAAATTAATTGAATTCTGAAGATTTCTTTGGCTAATATGAATTGTGAGGAGCTTATCTCTTTATAAAATCTGGTTGTTCCCTTTGCTAGAATGTTCCTGCCCTCGGAGAGCCCTAGGGCTTGGGCCCCATCCCCTGCTTGCATCTTCTCAGTAATGCTCACAAGACCATCCTACTTTATTATTTTTTATTTTTATTAAAAAAAAAACTTTGGGGGGTATAATTGATTTACAATGTTGTGTTAGTTTCAGGTATACAGCTGACCATCCTACTTTTTTTTTTTTTTTTTTTTCGGTATGCGGGCCTCTCACTGTTGTGGCCTCTCCCGTTGTGGAGCACAGGCTCCGGACGCGCAGGCTCAGCGGCCATGGCTCACGGGCCAAGCCGCTCCGCGGCATGTGGGATCTTCCCGGACCGGGGCACGAACCCGTGTCCCCTGCATCGGCAGGCGGACTCTCAACCACTGCGCCACCAGGGAAGCCCATGACCATCCTACTTTAAAATGCAAGCCTCTCTTGCCCTCCACTTCCATTCCCAATCTCTCTTACCCTACTTTTCTTTTTTCCTATAGTAAGTACTTGAGAGTATAATTTACTTTGTATTGGGTGTGTTGTTTATGATCTGACCCCTTCTCCCCTACAACTACCACTATAAGCTCCATGAGGGCAGGGATCTTCTTCTGTTGTGTTTTCCGATACATCTCTTCCAAGCACCTAGGACTGTGTCTGGCACATAACAAAGGAATGGAATGAATAAAAGAAAGTTCTCTGGGAAAGTAAAGTGATCATATTTTGAAATAATAGCCACCTTTCTCATACGGGTTAAATTGATACTTCCAGGGTTAAGGTACAAAATACTCAGCTGAAAAATTAGTGTATCAGTGGTTATTTTGAAAAAATAATTATTTGTTAAAGAACCAAGAAATTCTTTGACATTAAATATTGTAGCACAGTATTATTGTCCTTATGATTGTACTGGGGAGATGTGTAGCAGAAAGAACCTAGCTGGCCTTGGGTTTAAATCCTGGCTCCACTCCCCATAAGTAACCATGTGACCTTGCCCAAGTCAGTTAAACATGCAGCTCACTGGTGTTGTGTTCCTGATGTATACGTAAGTGCGATACACCTATGTGATAGCACACTGTCAATTAATGTTACCCTCTTACCACTTATAACAGGCTATTGGTTAATGAAACAGTTTGAATCAGATTCAGAGTAAGCTTTTAAAAACCAAGTGGTTTAATGAACTCCTACATACCCATCACCCAGCTTCAACCGTTATCAACTCCTGGCAATTCTTGCCTCAATCCCGCCTCTACCCCAACACACACACACACACACACACACACACACACACACACACACACACTCCTTCCTCCATATTATTTTGAAACAAATCCCAAATATATCATTTACTGTGCAAATATTTTAGTATAAATCTCTAAATAGAAGAATTCTTTAAACTGCATAATCATATCAGTATCTTATCTGAAAAAAATGAATAATTCTTTGATATCATAAAATATCCAAAGGTGTTCAAATTTCCAATTCTCTCATAAATGACCATATTTTTTAAAAATTTGTTTAAATCAGGATCCAAGTAAGGCCCACACATTGCTATTTGTTGATACATATTTTAAGTCTTAATTTCTCTTTTTTTTCTCTTGCAATTTACTTGTTGAGGAAACTAGATCATTTGTCCTGTTAAATTTGTCCATTCTGCATTTTGCTGATGGCACAAAAGTTTACTTTTTAAAATTTGATTTGTCATTGACAATAACCAGCAACCTAAATTTAATGTGGTTATGGATCTCTAAACAGCAGCAGAATGAAATAACTAATAGGAACTGAATTGAGGGGCAAAGCATAAGAGTAGGACCAATTATAACTTCGTTTTAATAATAAACACTCCCATGTGTGAGAAAAAAAATCCGTTCCTAATGCTACAAGCATCTACTACCCTCTCCATGTCCTTAACAGCATCTCCCCTTCCTAATGTGACTTTGTGATTTGTAATCAGCACAATTATTCTATGAGCATATAGAACAGGCCTTGGGGATATTGAGGCTCAAGCCCAGTGGTCAAGCAGCGCCCTGGAACAATTCTTCACCACACTCAGGTTTAGATGCTGGGCTTGTACCCAGATAAGCCAGGCAGAAGGCGGCCCAGAGGGAGAGAGAAGATCCTGTGGTTCTGAGTAAAAAGCATGCATAGCCGGGAAAAGCTGACTCCAGAAGCCAGGTTTAAGAGAATGGATCTCTTAAATGGCAAAGCTGAAGAAATTTGTCCAGATTCTCCTGGCTGAGTAAGATCGCTCAAACAGATGTTAGTTTTCTGCTTAATAGGAGGACATCCATGCAATTTTAATTGCCTAGATGTTAAAAAACAAATACAAACAAATCTGCCTCAAATGCTTTTTGTAATGAAGAAAGATGTCAACAAAGTCTCTTTCACTCATACATTATTGTACAGTGATATACATATCAATCACTTGCTTTTTGCAGATCTTTGCTTCTAACTTTCTTTCTTTTATACTAAATAGGGGTCAATCAGCTTCACCATGCCTCACTAACAACAGCCCAATGGTATATGAGCTAACTGATTTAGCTGGATTTTCCACTTAAACATAATTATATATATATATTTGTGGAGGAGGTGAATACACTTATTTTCAGAGACTTTCTTTGGGTGTTTCCTGTATTAAAAAGAGGGAGCAATAAAGTGTCTAAAGAAACACTTTCCTTTCACTGGCCTCCTGATTTTTTTTCCGAATTCCTTGTATCCCTAAATATTTGTTGATTATATAAGTGAATGAATAAACAAATGAATGAATATGGAGATCATATTATTTGAGAACCAATAAGCAACTAACTGCAAGAAATAAAATTCCATTTAAACAAAGAGTCTAACCATAGTCATCTCTAGATGATGGGAATAAATTTCAAGTCCCAGTTATGGGGACCAAGTCATAATCCATGTAACCAAACACCACGGATCAAGTTCCTGGGGGCTCGCACGTGTCTGCCCAGAGACCCCAGTGTGGCTCCTTAGTCCCAGGGGAAGGAGTTTATTTCCTCACCTATAATATAAAAATCCCCGTGCCAGCTCTATTCATTGGACTGTTATGGGGCAAAGTTTCTAAAATGCCTCAGGGAAAACATCTTGAGTTGTTCTTTAAGAGCTGTTATCAAGTCCTTCAGATCAATGGTTTCCAAACTCAGCTTCACAGGATACAGAAGTGCTTTAGGTGTATATGTGGATAGATGTACATTACAGAGAACCAACTTGTCAACTTATATGGACAGTGAGTTTTTATGTTCACTGTCTCCTGCTACCATAAAAGCATATACTTAAGCTTATAATATAATAAACATGTTATATACAATAACAATTATATATTAGCTAACATTTGCTCAAGACTTTATTATGCGCCAAGCATTGTGCTAAGTGCTTCATACAGATGATTTCATGTAATCATTTCAACAACCCTGTAAACCAAGCACTCAATTATCCCATTTTGCAGATAAGGAGACTGAGGCATAAGTAAGTTAAGTAACTTTCCCAAAGTCACACAGATAGCAAGTGGAAGAAAAAAAGCAAGAATTCCAAACTCTAACTTTGAACTCTTATGCAAACACTGCCATCAGTGTGCCACTTGTTAGGATTATAGCTCTGTACTCAAAAAAGTCAGGCTCGCTCTGGTTCACTGAAATACAATTGTATGAGTAAGAAACTACTTACCTGTGTGCATTCTGCTACCTGTTGATAAAGGAAATTATGGCCGGGAATACATTTTGCAGAACAGATATGCAAACTGTGCTAGCTGGCAGCCAATTTTTATACATCTCCTGGGGACTGACACTTTGCTCTGGATTTGATTCTTAGAGTCTCTACATCTATGTGGGTTTTGCTGCTATTCCATTACTTTGAACAGGGGTGAAGGAGAAAATGATTTTTCTCTGATTCACGCTGGATTCTGCAGTTATTAAATGAGAGAATGTTATTACTATGTCCGTTTTGTTACAAGAGAAGGGACTAGCACTTAGAACCAGGTATAGAAAATTTAATTAAAATCTATTAGGAAGGCCAAGTACAGCTGTTAGGTCGTTTCCTCATGCTTAAGGCATATTTAATATCTTATATTAAAAAGTATTTCCTGGAGGATAGGATATGGTTGGGTTGGGGTGGAGGAGACAAAGGGACAAAATACTTAATGGGTCTCTTTTCCTTACAGTGAAATTCATTGCCAAAATGCCCAATAGAAACATATAAAGTCAAGTTTAAGGGAATTCCCTGGTGGTCCAGTGGTTAGGGGTCCACGCTTCCGCTGCAGCGGGCATAGGTTCGATCCTTGGTCGGGGAACTAAGATCCCGCGTGGTGTGGCCAAAAATATAAATAAATAAATAAATAAATAAAGGCAAGTTTAAGAAAATCACTACGCTTACCGGCTGCCACTCCGAAGGTAATGAAGAGATAATGCACGTTTGCAGCGTAGGCACTCAACACCCAGCCCAGCGAGTTCAGCAGCCCTCCGATGATCGCGGTCTGTCGGCACCCACAGGTGTTAATGAACAAGCCAATGAAAGGTCCTGTCACAGAACATTGAAAAAAGAATGACTAAAATGACTAATGGCATTTTATTTTCCTACTTTCTTAGGGAGTCCTCATATGAAGACAAAGAATACAGTATTACTAGAGCTCTCAAGTAAAACAAACCAAAGCCACACCCCTGCTTTATGTGCAGAAAGCTCTTGGCGTGCAAAGATAGGTTTCAGTAACTTCACTGGAGAGCACAAGGTTCTAGATTTTCAAGGAAGACAGACCTGAAATAAACAGACCAGTTGAGTTCATTCTCTTGTCTACAGCAGAGGTCCTAAATTAGTGGTCTAGGTGCCCCATCCAGCCTGTGGATGCATTTTGTTTATCCAGAACAAAGTTTAAAAACGTTTTGAATCAGTTGCCAACATTTAAAAATTAAGATTATTCACAAAAATCCAGTGGCCACACAGAATACCTTCCCACACAGTCCAGAGCAGCTGATCCTGTTTCGCTGTGGCACACCCTCTCTAGTTTGCTGCAGTCTCCACCCTTCCCTGCAGCCTCATATTTGACATCCTGCCCTCATTTACATTACTTGTTTGGCCCCTGTATACATTTGAGTTTTTTACTGTAGATCTAAAGGGAGTACAGAAAGGGGGGCTCTCAGGACCTCCATGCTTCAAGAAAGGAACCTATAGCCTGTTTCCGTGAGGATATCCAGATGCAAACGAAGCCGGAAAGAACTCCATTGCTTCATACATACTTCAGCCTCTGCTGACTCTCAGTCCCTGACTGGGCCCATCAGGCTATGCATTTACGACACTGTGTGGACATTCAGGTCTACCCCTGGTTGTACGATATTTGCCAATACTCACAGCAATGCAGTATATGATACACTTTCTCATTGCTTACTTTCTATGACGCTCTAGTTTTTGTCAACCTCTTTGTTTCCTCCCTGATTTTGTGGCAGGTTCTGATGTCACTGAACCTTAACGCTTGCCTTCGGGTCAGTGATTCCTTATCCAAATAGCAATCCGTATGTCCGTAATACAGTTCAAGGCTGCACTCAGCATTGCATTTTAAACATCATCTTAGTTTTTGATCATTATTACTTTCTATAGTTATCAAACCCTATGTTCAGGCGGGGCTGTTTCAGGTTAAAAACTTGTTGAAGTCTAAGGAGCTTCCTCTTGTAGTCCAAACTGAAATAAAACTCTCCTTTACAATTCTAACAATATTCATATACATAGTTGGGTACAGTCTGCTAATAAATTTTTTTTTTTTTTTTGTCTAGTGATTTTGAGAGGATCCAATCCTGAAAACTAAGAAGATAAAGACTCACTAATTTAATTAACCCTGCTGTATTACAGAAAATAATTCAGTAGATAAACCTCTTAGAATAGACCTAATACAGTAAACATCTTATACAAATATACTGTATTATGTATATTATAAAATAAGCACATGATATAAACAATATATAAGCTAAGCACATGGATATAAACATCTGAGGAAATTACTGGGGGGAACTGAAATTCAGAAACCGTAAGTTGAAGAGTGTCTTTTATCTCTATAAATATTTTTATTTTCCTAAACCCACGGTCACTTCACCACTTCAGATCTCAGATGAGTGGGTTAAAAAAAGAGAAAAATGCAAGATTCATTGGTTTGCTGTTAATAGGTCTTTTAAGATATGAAGGGTCAATGCATGACAGTTCAGTGGAATGATATTTCCCACATTACAGAAAGGACCCAGAAGCAAGTTTTTCTGTGATGCTGCATGATTATGAAACACTGCATTAAGAAGTATTTGGGGGAACAAAGGGAGGAAATTCCCAAATAAGTACAGATATTCGTATCTGGAGGAATTCTATATATCAAAAAGAAAGTATTGCTTGCTTTACTGAAAAGAACATTAAGATGATAACGGTGTCTGGCTTTTAGTTATTGATTCTGGCACCATGTGTGCTGCAGCTACAGTCATTTATGATGTGCAGATGGGCAAAGTCAGCCCCAGAAATGCTGTGAGTCCTCCATGGTTACATAATATAGATTTATCAAAAAAAAGGAAGTCAGACCCGAAGTTTCGGATCCTTAGTTTCATTTTCTAAGCATTGTTTACTGATGGTCAGTTGGCATCTCCATGATGGAATTGCCATTCAACAAAATGAAAAGAACTCCACACCCAGTCTAAGGAGAGGGGAAAATAAGATTGAGATGCAGTCCTTTGGCTAAGATTCCCACTTTTTTAGAGGAATTCATTGTTTTGGAATGAGATTATACACCTTGTCAGACTTTCTCCTCTTCGGAAGGAATCTGAATCTTGGCCCATTTCCCACATAATAAAGTCTCGCATTGCTGCAGGAACACGCTGAGGAAGTCATGATTTCTTGCCCATCCCAGCATCTCATAGGTTGGAAAAAGCTCAGGTGAGGAGAGAAACAATCTGAGGTGAGCCTTGGCATACAATCATGGATGAAAGTAGCTAGTACCTGGTCTCTTGATGTAACCCTTCCCTGCAATAAATCAATGGCTCTCTGCCTTGGCTGATTGTTGGAGTCACTTAGGAGCTTTAAAAAAATCATTAAAGAAAAACCCTGATGCTAGGGTCCCATCCCGAGAGATTCTGATTTAATGCTCCAGGTGCAGCCCGAGAGGCATGGTTTTTAAAAGCTCCCAGGTGGATCTAACGTGTAGCCAAGATAGACAACCACTGCTCTAAATGTACTTAGCAAGTAAATGACCTTTTGCAGCCTATAGCTACCCTTAACAACATGGCTTCTACCAAGAATTATTCCAAGAGCTATCACAAAGGCTGCTGTAGATACTGCCAAGGTGATTACATTTTTTTAACAGTTGGGACCTTCTGCAGGAACTGGCAAAATCCATGCTAGCAAAGAATGAAACAAGAATGAATTGAATTCCCCACGTGCAAGTCACTGCCCAACAGAGTGCTTTTAACTCTGTAACATAATTCATGGAAGTTTTAAATTTGAAAGAGGTAACTCAATGTCCTTACAATGATTAGAAAATGAAAACAATTTATATTTATTCACTTCAAACATATTTTCAGTTCTCATTTAACGTCATGGCAGGCAGTGCGGTACAGTGGACACCATTTCAGAGTCCAGTGGACCAGGTTTGAAGCCTGTCCCACACTTGCTACAAGTTAACTTCAGTAAGTTACTTAATGATTCTGAGCGTTGCATGTTCTCCTCTGTGAGATCAAGATGATGGTCTGGCCTCCAGAGCTGCTGTAGGATCAAATGAGGTCATGTACATTACACGTACTTGGCATGTAGTAAGTGCTAAATAAAGGAGAGCTCCTTTTTGCTTTTCCAAGCAAACAACATATCTGCCGCCACCTGTACCAGCAGCTTAGATAATGAATAGCAATTTAGGGTCATGATAAGCAGAATAAAAGACGTTTCATTTACATAACTATGAGCCTTGCTGTGCTGTAATTTCTGAGCTGCAAGACAAAAGATGTTTATCTGGCAGACACCTTTCCTGAAGAAAGGTTAGTCTACAATCTAAAGTTCCACTGTCTGGAAATCAAGGACTCTCAAACAGAATTCAAAATCCACAGTTACCTCCTAATTAAAGATGACAATCACATTTCATCACCACTATGAGTTAGGTGTTCTTATTTGGGGGATCATCTTCAGAACCACATCCAATAATTTCAGGACTGATTTCCGTTGCTTATTCCTGTAGAACTTGTGAAACACAAAGTAATACCGAAGACAACCTTCTTAGACGGTTTGGAAAATACTGGGACAAATACCCTGGTCTTTGGCTGAATCTTCTTTTTTGCTGTATGAGCACACTTTCTAGATTGAATCTGTGAGTATCTTGTTCTACCCTCTAAACATTTATTTTAAAAAAGGTAAGAAAACTGGATTTTTAGTATTTGGGCTGGCCAAAAAGTTCATTAGGGTTTTTACGGCCAAACCCAAACGAACTTTTTGGTCATCCTATATTTTAGAAGCACAGTTTTCCTTTACTGACTTATTGAGAAGGTAGAATTATATCCAACACAAAACTAGCAAATTCCCTGCACTGAGGTTAACCTACCTGCACTTCTCATATGATAAACAGTCCTGGTTTGAACAAGGCCAAGGCAGGGTTGAGGAGTCAGTTCATTACAGTTATAGGCAAAAGTGATTTATCAACAATTCTCTCTCACACACATAATGATGCCCTTATTTAATTTAAAAACTAGATCAGTAATAATTCCTTGTGATAAACACATACCCCCTGTACACATCTTGAGAAATAACATTCTGTCCTTGTTTTCTATCATTAGCACTGCCACTGTTATTAATGTCGCTGGGATTATCCAAAATAACATTGGCTGAATACCAGCCAAGATCAACAAATCTCTGAATTGAATTCAAGCAATTAATTACCAATGTGGAAATCACTGACAAGGCACAGACTCTTGTCAAACACACATCTGCCTGTCATCCACATACTCCCACAATACTAGGAAGAGATTTGAGGCGTATTATGTTTCTAGTATAAAATATATCACGAACCCTTTAAATTAAAAAAAAAATTATACGTAAAAATATGGCTTTTACTTTCAAGTAAAGGAATTGAACAGCTTTACGGTATAGTGGTAATTACCTCGTACGACTGTTGAGAGAATTAAAGTTAAATGAGATGATGTAAGGGAAAACACCTGGTATATAATAGGTGCTTATTAAATAGCAGTTGGCAGTAAAAGCTGTTTAGTTCTCAAACTGAAACACATTAGCCATAGCAACGTATCATATTTATAATAATTTCCTTGTTTAGTAACTCCAATTAGATAAGAATTGCTTTCATAGATTGCTACGTGGTTAAACTACAAAATACAAGAATATGTTATTATTCCCTCCTGTTAGCTATATCAGTAACTTTTCTAAAAACAGTTTAATAGATTTTTCAATAACATAGGATCAATACTTCAAATTTAAAACATTAGAGCTCTGAAATAAGATTATTTACTTTTACTTTTTCTCAAAAATTTTTATCTTTTAAAAATATTCATGTATTAAACAGATTTGTAATGATAGGTAATGAATTATAACAGTTAAGAAAACAGAGTTGGGGTAAAAATTCTAATGCTCAATTTTTAAAATACTCCAAATGTTTACCATACTCGAATAGGAATATCACACAAAAGGACAAATCTTGTGTGATCCCACTTATATGAGGTATTTAGCACAGTCAAATTCATACAGACAGAGAATAGAATGGTAGTGGCCAGGGATAGGGGGCTGGGAGGAGAGGTGGCAATGCGGAGTCATTGCTTAATGTGTGCAGTTCTATTTTGGGAAGATGGGGAAAGTTCTGGAGATGGATGGTGGTGGTGAATGTGCTCAATGGCATTGAACTGTACACCTGGTTAAAATGGTAAACTTTATGTTATGTACATTTGACCACAATAAAAACAAGAGCAACATCCACTACAATGTAATATCTAACGTTTCAACAATACAAAACATTACTTACAGCGAGGAACTGTCATTTTATAATTATTCAGTTTTACAACAGGCCACATGTGAACATACCCACAATCAAGGTGACGCCCATGCTGAGGGAGCTGACCCATGCCGTCAGGCCACGGCTCTGATGGAATTCTTCAAGCCACTCCACATTGAGGACTCCCAGGGCCATCTGGGAGCCCATGATGAGGATGTGCACAAAGAAAGAGGAAAGGACCATCATCCAAGCCCATCCGCCATCGATGTCTGGGTGGGGTTTAAGTGTCTTCTTATCTTTGGGGTCATCTTCAAAATCATACCCAATGTCTTCGTGGCTTGTATACATTTTCCAAGATGTTCTGAAATACATATGACAGATAATTTCATTGAACATCAAAACAAAAAAATCTCCATCTTTCTGGAAAGCTCTACCTACCCATCAGAACCAAAGTGGCCCCACCATCATATTAGACCTTTAGATTAATCTTGTCCTTATGCAGATTTGGGAACACTCCTCACTTTTTCATAGGACCAAATGCTTTTATGAAACCTGTTTCATCTTTACAGTCATCCTATATGTAAGTATTATTATGGCTATTTTAAAGAAATGGAAATAGATTCAGGGAAGTGAAGTGCCTTTCCCAAGTTCTCATGGCCAGGAGGTAGTATATATTATAGCTAGACAGGAAGCCAGGAATTGAACCCAGCTATTCCTGACTCCAAAGCCCATGCCTCGTGTCCCTTATTGAGATGGAAACTGACAGGTGACAACAAAGACGTTAGAGAAGGAAGATGCCTGGCCTTAGACAGGGTAGCTTGGCCTTGGAGGGGGGGTGGTGGTGAGTGGGCGCCTGGCAGAGGCTATGGTTCTCAGTTTTGTGGGTCCAAGTGTTCAATTTGTTCAATGCAGCTAGAGTGGGTTAGCCTCAGGGGGACTGACTCATACGAACCCAACTCAGGAGAGATTGGTAAAGGAGAAGGCCAATTTATTATCTTACAATGGGAGACAGAGTCTTCTAAAAATGGTGATATTTATGTCTGATATACAAGACATACTTTCACCCCCTCCATCCACCCCCATTCCCTGCATTTACCTGGGAAGCTAGAAAATTGCTTAGAAAATTGGAAATCAGATTACAGAAATTTGGATACCACAATGGCATACAGGTTACCAGGGAGCCAGGGGCTAGATCTTGAAGAGCCTTATGTGCCAGATAAGGATTTTGGAGTTTATCCTGTACATAATGAATAGTTGGTGGCTGCATTTGCACAAGGAAGAGATAAGATGGGACCTGTGCTTTGCGTAGATCTATCTCTCAAGTTGTTCAAACAAGAGGAGGGGGTTGGATGGAGCTAGAGGTGAGACGATGCCAGGTCAGGGGAAGTCTCTGGTTTTGTTTTATTTTTTAGGATGAGAATGGAGTGTATGCATAAAAACTGAGGATAAGGAGAGAGAGAATGACTAATCCCAGAGGTGGTGGGACAGGGTTGGTCTTGATCAGGAAGACTGACCCATCCTCTGAGACTTGAGGAAGCAGGGGGTAGATGGAGAAAAGATGGTAAGTAGTGGGATTTTTGATGATGGCCATTCTGATCAGTGTGAGGTGAGATACTTCACTGTAGTTCTGATTCGCATTTCTCTAATTATCAGCGATGTTGAACATCTTTTCATGTGCCTTTTGGCCATCTGAATGCACATATCTGTTTTGAGAGTAAGTTCCTAAGAGTTCAGAACTGCTGGTCCACACCTTGGCTCAGTTTGGGTCTGCAGTGCCTGCGGTGTCACACATCACTGCCTTTAGCAGGACATTCAAGATGGACTGTGACAGCACAGTGATGGTGGAGACGAAGACCAGGACGCCAGCTACTTGACTTTTGTCACTCTATGTGCCCACCTGCAGACTTTAGTTTTGTTTAAAATTTAAAAGAGCAAAACAGAGTGCCAAAGCTGCAAGGTGAAAAACTTTGGTTTGGAAAGTGAAATTTGTAGTCGATACATGAATTTGAATAATGACTTTAAAATGGAAATCTATTCTTTGTTTCAAGTAATTTTAAAACAGAGGAGCAAATCAGAAAATAATGATGATTACTGACCATGACATGTGATTATTACTGAAAATCATTTTGTTGCAGTGGAGGAAATTGGTGTAAAAAATGGTCCCAAATACACTCGGAACACCTCCAACCATGGGGCTTTTCTCCGCAGTGTTGTGATGTGGACAAAATGACAGAGAAGCAAATTGTGGCCCAAGTGCCCAGCTCTCAGCCTCTTTTAGGGAAGCACACGGTGCCATCTGCACAGACTCTTTCTGTACGCCCCTGAGCTAAGAATTTTTTTTTACCTTTTCAAAGGCTATGTGACCTGCAGAACTTCATATACGTACTCTCTGACCCTTTATAAGAAAAGTTCGCTAATCCCCAGATTAAGAGTTTGTTGGGAAGAAACAGGTGCTAAGGAACCAAGGATGCCAGTGGAAGAGCAATTTAATGGATCTGTCCTGGGGCTCATCTTGACTTTTCATTTCTCTCATACCCATTATTTTCATCTTTTAAATTATACTGTCTCTTAAACAGATATCCAGTGCTCAGCCACCACACTTCCTGCCCATGTTGCTGCTCTCTGCTGGGTTCTTCCCTTCACCTCTCCATTACTGAGGATGCTGGGAATAGGAAAATGCTATTGTACCATGTAACTTCCCCACCCGGTCGAGTTATCTTTAGGATTAAGTCCAAACTGCCCTGTCTGCTTCCAGGCTCTCCCCTCGCGTTATCTGCCACTCTGCCAGGTCCCTTCTCCTGTTCCTCAGCTTTGCACTCTGCTCTCCAGCCCCATGGAAGCACCTGCAGCTCCCTGAACCTGGCACAGTCTCTCAAGCTTTTGTGCATGACCTTCTCTTCTTTCGGGAACATACTTCTCTCCTTCTAATCTCCTGGTCCTCTTCTGCTCACCCTTCAAGATTCAACAAAATTCTAATAGTGAAACCTTGAAATAATGAGGAAAAAAAAAACCCCTGCAAACATCTCTAATATCCAACATTACAGTACATGTTAAATCAGTCAATCATGGTATAGCCATGCAATGCAAGTGCACCATCAAAAATAAAACTGTATGGGCTCTTTGAAGACAGAGAAAGAAGGTCATGCTAAGGTTGAATTATACTAGGTGGTCACAAAATGGGGCACATGAAATAATTCCTTTTTGGTTGTTGTTGTTGTTAAAAATATGTATCTGTAGGAAAAAAGGACGAGTGAAACTAAAATGTTGATGGAGATTATTCTTTGGACGGTCGTCTTCCAAGTAATTTCCTCTTCTTTATCTCTTTGGTAAAAAATTCTAAATAAATGTATATTAACTTTATTATAAGAAAGTCAAGGCCCCTCTCTCTACCTCTTAAACATCATCTGGTTCAGCTACTTGCCTACAGTAGATTAGTGGCAATTCAGAGCCACTTCCCTTGGGAAGTCTAGTCTGCATTGGGCTGTAGGCTTGTGTGTGTGTTTCCCACCACCCTCCTCTCCCCTCATGAGAGGACAGTCTGCCTGGCGATAGAAAGGGATGGGATAGCCCTTGCTCTCCAAAGCTCACAGCCCATAACCAAGCTACCCTGTCAAAAGTTCCAGGAGGATGAAGCTAGAAAGGGTTCCGAAGTGGTGTCTGATGGTTGTCTTCCCTTCGCCCCTGGTAGTTGTACACAGAATCCCAAGGAGCCAGAAAGAGGAGAACCAGGCAGCTTGATAAGGGGTGTGACTGGCTTAGATGAATAATAACAACATTGTTTTACAATCTGTGTTTAATGAGATAAAACACGCAACTTGGCATTTTCCTAAAGCCCACCTACATGGAAGAAAGACTTTGAAATAATAATAATACAAAAGTCATATTTTTTCTACTTATGAGTTGAAATAGTAAGCACTTTTCTAAGCAATGTTAAGAACTTTATATTTTCACTGAATTATTTATCTTATGGGTTAAGAGATGCAGTTGCCATTGAGTTGCTCTTGACATTTCCAGTTTATCTGTTCATAAAGAAATGACGTTAAATGGCGTTTAATGGAAAAGTTTTCTTCAAGAGGCACAGCTGTAAAAAACAAAGAAACAAACAAACAAAAAAGAGGCACAACTGTGCCTGTAGAAAATAGTATCAGATGGAGCCTATGGGTGGGTAAGACAAAATTCCATCAGATCCGCAGGAGGTCCCTGAAGATCTTCCAGGCAATGGGGTTGTCTGCATTTCACACCCAAATCTCTCTAAAAGTCATTCCTGTTTTGACTAATCAGAGTTATCTGACTGTACAGCCAGATTAACTAAAACAAACAAAAGGCAACAGAAGAATAAACGTCTGTCCCCTCACCCCCAAGTTTGCTTTAGCATTTCAGCATTTATGTAATAAGATACAAAATAATCATTTGAGCATTAGGACCCTCCTCTGCACCTGGAGAGAGAGGGAGAACCAGGAAGGGTTTCTGGGCCACCTCTCGCCAGGCTCCAAGTCTTTCTCCACCATACGGTCTTCAAGCTCCCCCATCTTTTCCACACACTGACACACATGCAAAATGACAACACGTGTGGGACACTGGGGGAAGTGGAGCAGTGAGCGTGGGGTTTCTGCTAAGGACTGATGTGTAAAATGTAACCCATTCTGGGCTCACCTAGAATGGAAGCTCTGCACATAACGTTAGGGCCTTGCACTGAAGAAGCTGAAGGAAGGAAATGGGAAGATTATGGAAGATTATGGGATCAACAGTCAACTCCCCATTCTTCCCTAAAGTGAGTTTACTGCCGGTGAAAGAGAAACCATTCATGGGGGAAATGAAGTAACACACGCAGGCTATGACATGGAGGTCAGCTACGTATTTACCTGGTAACTGGCAGAAGTGAAAACACTATATAGCCTGTTCGAGTGTTTCAGAGATTAAAACAAAATTAAATTTTCCACAACTCTGTTAGGGGAGCAAGTTTTATAAGCAAGTCATTGATTTTTTTTTTTTTTTTTTTTTTGTGGTACGTGGGCCTCTCACTGCTGTGGCCTCTCCCGTTGCGGAGCACAGGCTCCGGACACGCAGGCTCAGCGGCCATGGCTCACGGGCCCAGCCGCTCCGCGGCATGTGGGATCTTCCCGGACCGGGGCACGAACCCATGTCCCCTGCATCGGCAGGCGGACTCTCAACCACTGCGCCACCAGGGAAGCCCAAATAATTCCTTTTTAATTTGGCTACTGTTGATTATGTTACAATGTGGTGAGCTCACTGTAAATAGGCGGTAAAGGGGAAAGCGCCCAATTAAAATTAAAAATACAATCTTCCCCAAAGGTGACAGAGTATGTTGGTAGCAGGTTCTTCATTAGACGTGGGCGTGGGGCGGGCACATCTGTAATTTGGCTCTGTCGATATTTGCCCTCTAGACCGGGTGCGCACTGGACATCTTGAGCCTTTAGAGGGCGCACTTGAGGCCAACAGTCTGAAGAGGCTGGAGCAGCCAAGGATGGGGAGCTGAGCTGTGCAGAGACCACAGAGCAAGAGAAACGGGGAACCCTATCTAGGTTCACGCTGTATCAGGGGGAACTAAAAATATAAATGCCTTCTATGGGTCAGGAACTGTGCTTAACGGCTTCTCCACAACGATTCTGTCCAGTTGATATTAATGCCCCATTTTACAGATGAGGAAATTGAGACTATTTGTAGAATGGGGGCAATGCAGCTTAGAGAGGTTAAACTACCCGGTGGTGGAGGCCAAATTTGAACTCGGGCCTGAGGGATTCCAAAGCCTATTTTATCTCTCTCTCTCTCTCTCACACACACACACACACACACACACACACACACACACACACACACACAC